GCCAAGCGGCACTGGTGGGGCACCGGCAGATATTTGGAGGGGAAGGTTCTCACCATCACTCCCGGGGGGGTGAATATGGGCTACGACTTTTTGGTTTTTACCAGCCCCTTCTGGACCAGGCAGCGATAGAATTCCTGAATGTATGTGTACACACACTTCCAATCCGGCTCGCGCATCCGGACCATGTCCTCCACGTCCAGCAACTGCGGACAGTCCGCGTGCTTCCTGGGGGCAGGGAGAGAGAGGGGCAAGCCAGTGACCGCAGCCCAGTTGGGGAGGGGAGGAAGAGAGAAAACAAGAGACACGGATCAATGCAGTTCCCATCCCTCCCCCAGGCAGATGCTGCTCTGCTCTCGCATGCTCTGGGGGTGCGCAATGCAGGTGCAGGAGGGCTCCAGGCACCGCAGCGCCGAGGCCATTCAGTGAGATTTGGGGAGGGGGCGGCACAAGCAAGGGAGGGGGAGGGCGGGTGAGTGGCGTGGAGAGGCGTGAGGTCCAGAGGGAAGGACAGATGGAGGCGGAGGAGGAGGAGTGAGGTGTTCTGGCACGCCAGGTGCTCGGGGAGCGGGTTCCAGAGCGGAGCAGCGCTCTATATAGCCCCTATATAGACCCGCCGGGAGGATAGGGGGGGGCAAGCCCTGCCCTCCTGCCCAGCTCCGCTTGGAACTGCGGGGCACAGCCCTGGTGCAGGAAGCTCGGGAGAAGACGCTCACAAGAGCTGGAGGAGGAGGAAGGACGAGAGGCCACCTGGCTTCCAGGCCGGAGAGATCGATGGCTCTCTCAAGTCCACGCACCGGTTCCCCAATTAAGGCAAAAAGTCGATTAAGAGGAGCGCCAAGAGCCAGGCACGTGGCCCCCTTCTCGCTCCACCGAACAGCACCGCGGCACCCAGGGAGCTCGTGGGAGCTCCCAGCTCACGCCACCGCCCTGGATGGGACCCCCACCCACCTGGCCCTGCCCCTGGGCAGGGTGTTGGAGGGGAGGAGGAGTGGGTGGGAGAGAGACAGAAGGAAGGAGAGAGGGGCTGGCTGCCAGCCCTCCAGCTGGACGCGCTCCCATCTCTCAGCACCCAGGAAAACCAGAAGCAAAAGGGGAAGGGAAGAGACTGGATAAGCTGCGATGGTGTTTGAGCCCCTATGACCGTGAAAGGAGGCACCTGGCTCAGACAAACCCCACGCCCCGCTCCCCAGGAGCTGCGGTCCAGCACCTGGCACCCCAGGATGGGATGTACTGCCTGCGGCCAGGTGGGCTTGGGGGGCTGCTACCCTGCCCTTGGGTGCTCTGCCCCACACCTAGGAAGCCCAGACCCCCAAGCCCACCCTTGCCGCACCAAACTGGGCTGCGCTGGCCTCTCATGGCTCTGTCCACACAGCCACTGCTGTCCCGCTGGCATCAAAACCTTGTTGCATGACATGGGGGGAGCGATGCTGATGGGCACCCACCTCCAGCACCATCGCCCCTGCCAGCGAGTGGGAGAGCCGCCCCGAGCCACCCCAAGCCCACACGATGGCATGAGAGCTACGTACTCTGCGGAGGAGAAGGCCACCTCGAAGTTGTGGCGCCGGTTCTGGGGTGTCAGCTGGCTGTAGTCAAACGCCTCAGGGAAGAAGTTGTGGACCAAGGCGCAGAAGGCCATGCCGTCACTCCAGCTGGACGAGAAGTTCTGGATGTCCACGTGCTGTGAGGGCAGGAGAGTTACTGATCCCGAGGGGCAGAGTGACCGGCCCTGGGGACGGGGAGAGGAGGCGGCACTCACCTCGTAGCCCCGGGTCTTGGCTCTGCACCAGTCTAGCAACATCTGCTTGATGCTGTTGGCGTTGGGCACGCCAAAGCTGGAGGAGCGCTGCACGGCGGTGCGTGCCGCCGAGGGGTTTGGCGAGCTGTGGTGAAAGGTGCGGAGTGTTATCCACATGGTGCACACTGCCCCAGCCAGCCCACCCCCAGCGCAGCCTCACCTCCCACCCTCCTTCTGCAGCTTCTCCATCATGGCCTTGCGAGCCTGCGAGGCCGATGTCTTGGGCAGGCTCTGAGCTTTCATCAGCTCCTTCTTCTTCTCAGCCTGGCGCCGCTCCAGCGCGGCCAGGCTGCTCTGCCTGGAGGCACTCTCGTCTTCACGGTCGAAGATGCTGGGAGAGAGACAGAAAAAGCTAAGGGGGCCACGGGCAGCCTGGGGAAGGGCACGTGGTGGCCTCGGCCTATTGCCAGCCCTGGCCCTTTGGAGACCTCCATGTCCCTGGGACAGAAGAGGGGTGGCTTAACGTCTGTGGCTGGCAGACTTGTCTCTGTGCCCATGGAGGGACCCATGGGGACCGCTGGAGACAGCAGGTGTGCCCCAAGGACCAGGAGGCTTTGGGGACATCCCTACATAGTGACACTGCAAGCTGGGCAGAGAGCGTTTGTGCAAGCAGATGGCTGACAGGGACTGCCTGGGGCTGGCCCCAGAGAGGCACCACCACTCACCTGCCCGTCTTCTTGGAAGAGGAACTGTAGGACGATTTAGTTTGAACAAATGTGCTGTTGCCATCTGCAGAGAAAGGCAGAGGCCTTGGGCAGCCGGCAAGGGAAGCGGTGCCAGGCAGGCTGGGGGCTCTGCCCACGCCACCGGCAGGCACGGCTCAGCGGCAGCAATGCCCCCGGGGTTATGCCCAGAGGGTGCCGCAGGGAAAGGGCAGCAAAAGTGCTTACTATCCGATCTCTTCACATAACTCGACTCCATGGTTGTGGTACGGGAGGTCTTGGTGCCATCACCTGCGGGGGGCAAGGCAATGGGGGATCAGCTGGGGCTGGGGGCAGCGGCACCCACAGACGCCCACCACTGCCAAGCACCCTCGCATCCATGTAGTGCAAGAGGGAGGCAGGAGGCAGAGCCATGGCCAGGGCAGGCAGCGGGGGTACAGGCAGCATGTGCCCCCCAGGCAGAGTGAAGAGGCCAGCACAAAGGAGCAGGGAGCTGGAGCATCCCTCAGCCCCCTGCGGCGACTCTCGGCTTCAGCCACCCAGCAACTGGGAAAGCAGAACTGTAGGGGACAGAAGACAAGCCTGAGGTGCAGAATAGGCCCTTGCCACCATAACATGGCAGAGAATTGGGTGAGAAGTTGCTAGAGCAGATCCCTTGAAGACCCCCAGGGGGGGTCTGGGCAAGCCAGAGGAGAGGCAGCAAAACTCAGCCCTGAACCCCGGTCCTGCTCCCAGTGCAGTCAAGCCAGACCCAGGAGAAGCTGCGAGAGCGGCAGAGAGAAGCTGCGGTGGCAGAGCGCCAGGAAAGACTCTGCACAGCCCCCCAAAGGGCCAGCACACCAGCCACAGTGGGCAAGCAAGGCTCACGCTCCCCTAGCCCAGCCCATACTAGACTGGACGAGACGCTCGGTCTTGGTGACACTGCTGCACGCCGAGCCGTCGGCCGACTGGGTGCTCTGTGTGGTGGTGGTGGTCTCCGTGGTGTTGCCGGCCCTCCCTGCTGTGGCCT